CATTTATTTATTTTAGGTTGCGGGATTGCCATGTTGATAATATCTGTCTTGATAGCCATATACTATAATATTATAATGTGCTGGACACTGTACTACCTGTTCGCTTCGTTGAAGGGCTCACTGCCATGGGCTAACTGTAGGAATGAGTGGAACACTCCGGATTGTAAGGACAAAGACATGCTGCTGTTAGGTGAGACACACACACACACACACACGCACACAGACACACACAGACAGACACACACACACACACCTCACAATGCGCAATGCGTCAGCGGAGGTGTCCTGCAGTATAATGAATCCTGACCTGTGATCTCTGCGCTGTTTCCTCTCCAACACTTTTTAATCCCCCAAAACCTCTTCACCTCTCTGCTCCATGTTAACGACGTGGACCTGTCACAGGTGATGAAGGCCTCAGTGGCACAGATTGTTCTGAGAAACAAACATTTGATGTATATTTTCGGATCATTGTTTTTTTGGGCAGATTGCAGCAGGGTTTTTATTTCTTCATCCTTTAAACCTGCAGAGGACACAAGAAACACTCTGAAACGACTATGATGAGATCAAATCCTGTTTTTATTCAGAGGGAAATATTCGGGAGTTGATCCAGTTTCGATCTGCGTCGAATAAATATCGAAATTTCCGCTCATTTAACGTAAAATTTGCCAGAAGCGTTTCTGTGAATTCAGCATAAAAACTGCTTGCTTGACAAATTTACTGTACAGAGCTGCTGCAGTGCTGCAGTGAGCCCGAGACTGACCCCTGCAGGCCGCCACACGAACTGCAGCCACATTCTTCACTGCCCCCCCACCCTCTCAGTGTTACAACAGAAGCTTTGTTCATAATCCACATGTTTTGCAGATGTAGTGGAGAAAAAGTCAATTGTATTCTACTTAATCCCATAGGAAATACTTGTGCCAGCTTGCTCCAAGATAACAGTGTAACAGTATATCATGGAGTATAGTGATTTAAACAGTATTTAATCTAAACACATAAGTAAAAAGAAAAAAGAAAGTGTTTTTTAAGTCAAATAGAAAATACACTGTGTATACGGAGTGATGCAGAACTAGTGTCTAATAAACAATAGAAGTGAAAATAAAAGAAGTGAGTTACGTGAAACAGAAAACTAACACTGAACTAAAGTGGGAGTGAGTAGTAATGCAAGTAAGTAATACAATAGTAATAGTAATGGCACATTCTATTCTATTCTTAAATCACGTTGTACTTCGATGCACGGTAAATATATATTTGGTGCATCTTATAATACTGCGTTAATATTTAAAAATAACGTTTGTTATTTTTTCCTTCTTGTTCAGCTGCAGAAACATCTGTCCTGCGTTATTTATGTGTTAAATTAGAACACACAGAATGTTATTGGAAGCATTTTGTCTTAAATGTAGAACAAACGTTAATGCACTGCAGCTTCTATGTATTCAAAGCACCGTTAAACAAATGCTCGACACATTAAACACATTTCACCTGTTTTCTTGCAGTTAAAGGCAAAACGAGTTCTGATCATTTTTGCTTTTGCACATCTGGCTGTGCAAGAACAAAAAAGAAAAGACTGAGTCTAATAAAACTGTGCAGGTTCCCTCTGCACTCACAGATGCAGCAGCCTCCCGTCACTCCTCATTTCTACAAACCACATCCATCTGTTCACTTTACTCTCAGAGTGAAAAGCTGAGTGGACGTTAAACTGTGTCCCACAGCTGCACGGTCCTGTCGCTCTCTCCCTTGTTGACGTGTGTTGGTTTGTGATTGGAACAGACTCGTGCATCCTGCGGGACAGAAACATCACCTCCATCAAGAACTCCTCTTTCTGTCTGTCCGCAAACGCTGTGGGAAACCTGACGAAGCTGTTAAACATGACAGTGGACGGAAACAAGACTGATGTCAGCCCCAGTGAGGAGTACTTCAAGTGAGTGAGGCCTCTGGCTGACGGAGGAACAACAGGAGTTTGAAGGAGAATTTAAATGTGACGGAAACAAAAAATAAAATAAATACATTTTTGGAGTTAATGTTAAATCTGATACATAACACATAATACATAACAATGTCAACTGGCTGTGGCAAAAGGTTTTCCTACAATTTTATTATATAGATAATATGATTTCCTGTTTTAAATTTTTCTATTGAAGTCTCAGATCCAATCTTTGATCAAGAACAGAGCCAGTAAATCTTTTAATTTAATCCAAACACACAAAATTCCCCAGAAAGTTTCATTAAATCTTCTTTTCCTGAAGTTAATGTAAAAGTATTGCTGTTAAATTTCCAGTGAAAAGGACAAAAAACAAAACAACTCCCACACAAATGAAAAACACAAAACATGCAACCAGTGTATGTTACAAAGTACACATGAGTATTTAGTGACAGAATAAAGCATCTCTCTGCAGGTGGTTCAAGAGAGATTAGAAAACAAATTGTGGAAGTGAAATCAGATTTAAATTTAAATTTTACAAAGCACTTGTTCAACAGAAAAATAGACTTGTATGATTTAATAATGCACAGAAATGGTTTCCTCAGAACGTATTTGCAGCATATTTAAATGTTGTTTTTTTTGTGTGTAGAGTGAGTAGTTTTGAGTTTTGCTGTTTGACGCCTGCAGGTACAATGTGTTGCACATCTCTCAAGGGATTGAATTCCCAGGAGACATTCGCTGGCCTCTGGCAGGATGTCTCTTCCTGGCCTGGATCATCGTCTACGCCTCTTTAGCCAAAGGAATCAAGTCATCAGGGAAGGTAACGAAACACAAATACTCCACAAACACAGAAACTCCACAAACCTCATCCTCTGATCTGGAATCAGATTTCCCATCAGCATCACTCCACTCTGTGATCAAAGTGCCCCCTAGTGATGAAACAGAAGAAGCTCTGCTCCTCATGATGTTTAAATCAAACATCCCTCAAGATGATGGTTGTTTTCTGATAAAGGCTCTAATTCAGATTCAGATTCAAGGAAAACTAATTTAATGTTAAATCTCTGTTTACATGAAACCAGGACAAAAACACTGAATGTTATATTATGAGTTTTTGTCTTTAATTATTATAACTTTTTATTTGAGTATAGAATCTGAGAGCAATGAAAACTGTTGACATTGATTCTGAAAAATGGTTTTTAAAGGATTCCGATCGTCTTAAGGTTTTTACAGTAAAACCTAAATTGTCATGATAACAATAACAACAGTGCAAGTGTAAATGAAAAGGCTTTAATGTCATCTTTTTAAACACTCGAAGATAAAGTCTGAATTCACGGAGTCTGAGCCACGTGGTGTTTTATTCTCATGGTGGATTTCATGATAAACAACCCAACACACAGAAAAGATCATCGGATTCTCTTGTAGGACGAAAAGTGATCAGAGAAAGTGTGAGAAGATTGTTTCACTGAAAATTAGAAGATAATTTGTCTGAATTCATCATCTGGTATTTTGGAGATTTGATGTTAACTGAAGGAAAGTCAAGTTTCTTCGTTGTGGAAGTGAATACGTGCAGGGGATGGATGATATTCTGGTGTCATGCTGCCCTCTGCTGGATTTAGGGGTGATATGCAACACACCTGAGACAAATAGGACAGATTGACTCAACTGCAACTAATGCACTGCTTATGTTATATATAATATTTATGGGTTTTTTATGCACATAATTTTTGAATCATCGGAATTTGTAGAATTATTTTCTAAAATTGACCAAAATTTCTCATGTTTCTCTTCAGCATTGTCATCTTATCTGCATCCTCACTCTCTCGAATTTATCTCGTCCCCTCTCTGCTCAGGTGGTTTATTTCACCGCCACGTTTCCCTACGTGGTGCTGGTCATCCTGCTCATCAGGGGAGTGACCCTCCCCGGTGCAGCCGACGGCATCCTCTACTTCATCACACCAAAGTGGGAGAAACTGAGCGATGGCAAGGTGACCGGACGTTCGTTCTTTTCCCAAACGGCACACAGGTTTCTGGTGGGTTTTATTCCTGCTCTTCACCTGCAGCTCTCTCCCTCCTCTTCCTCTCTCAGGTGTGGAAAGACGCAGCCACTCAGATCTTCTTCTCCCTGTCGGCCGCCTGGGGAGGCCTCATCACTCTCTCCTCCTACAACAAGTTCCACAATAACTGCTACAGGTAAACACACGACGCTGAATCTGTGAATAATAAATGTTGTTCTTCACAACCGGCAGGTCAGCGTTTCTTTATTTCCTCTCACTTATGTTAGAGCCACAGTTTATCACAAGCTTCATGTGCAGATTCAACACGGGGACACTGAAGATCTCAGATATTAAAACAGTAATTTTCTACTGTTTTCAGATTTTCAGAGTTTTACTCTTTTTATTTATGTATTTATCTGATATTCTATGATTTGAGACCAGTTCATAACCCATGAATATAATATATTGTACAGTATTATAATATCTGTTCTTTGTGGCTGGATTATATTTTATATTCTGGAGTCCTCTACTCGACAGTTTTTATTCTCAACCTCAGAAGAAACTGTCCGATCTCTCATCTGTGTTTAAATGAAACAGAGACACCCTGGATCAAATAAATAATACAAACCAACACACAAAGCTCCTGCAGATGTTTGCTCATTTATGGTCTCTCTTGTGTCTTTCTTTCTTTTCACCTGCAGGGACACTATCATTGTGACGTGCACGAACAGTGCCACCAGTATATTTGCTGGGTTTGTCATCTTCTCTGTCATTGGTTTCATGGCACATGAGTTGAAGGTGCCGATAGAGAAGGTGGCAGATGAAGGTAAGAAACCAAACCTGCAGCTGACAGCAGCGGCAGACTCACTAAAACACACCAGACGTGAAAAAGTTTCATCTTGTGCCTTTTTGTCACGCACGTGTGTGTGTGTGTGTGTGTGTGTGTGTGTGTGTTTGTGTTGGTTCCAGGTCCCGGCATAGCGTTCGTGGTGTATCCAGAGGCTCTGACCAGACTTCCCTTGTCTCCGTTTTGGGCGATCATCTTCTTCCTCATGCTGCTGACTCTTGGCCTGGATACCATGGTAACTAAAGTTCATAACCACAATTAAACTGAATCCAGTGTCAATCATCACAGCGTGCTTTATTATTACGATAATGGCACCCAGAGGAGTGCACACCTCCGCCAAGGCCCGGCAGTCCCCTTCAATTCAATCAATCATAGCACACACTCATGGAAGTCAGATCCTACCAACTGTTGTTTTTCTTTACCCTAGAATATATATATATATATATATATTTTATATTTAAATACTTTGTATTGACATAAGGAGTGGCTCCTCTCTATGGGGGCCCCCATGTTTCTTACTGTAGCTCAGACTGGACAAACTAAACCTTTTGAGTTTGTATGACGACTGAAGCTTCCACAGGTTCTCTTCTTGTTTGGAGGGGGAGGGGGAGGTTAGGGGGTATCCAGCTGCAACATTACATTTAGCCACTAGATGTCACTAAATCCTACACACTGAAGCTTTCAATATAATATGAAATAAAACCAAATCAAATGCGCTAACAGAGGCTGAAATATAATAAACCATAAGAACCATATGTTCATCCTGGAGGATATCAGGAGCTCTGTGGATTAGTTTGTTTTAAGGGTCTAAAGTCGGATCAAACCGAACTCACACAGATTAAAGTCTGTTTGAACTTCTCAAATCATTTGTAAAGAGTTTCCAGACGTTGTGTTTCCTCAAAGTAAATGAAGTTTGTTAGTAAGTTTGTCAGCGACACTCGGCTCTGTTTGAATTCTCCACACGTCGACACACTTAACATAATAACTCGTACGTACACCACCGACTGTGTCCACTGATTTCAGCTCAAGTGTTCAACTCCCCAGGCCCTCAAGGGAGGGGGGGGGGGGTCTGATCTGACTGAGAGACACTGAGTTCACCTTCAGGTTTTAGAACAACAACACAGAAGTTTCTCCAAGTTCAAGTACAAATTAAGTTCATTGAAATAGTAATAATCATTTATTCATATATTATGTTTTCATCTGTGTTTGTTTGTTAGTTACACAAAATCCACTCCACAGATTTCCATGAAATGTGAGTCAGGGAAGTTAAAGTTAAAGTTTGGTGTGAATCCGGATCAGGGGGCACATCCAGGAACTTTTTTAAATTCTTTAATATTGCGAGAAACAATTTTATTTTCTACTTTTTGATTGATTTCTCAGAGAATAATTCATGAATCTTGTTGGTGGGAAAAATCGGAGATATTTATGAGTGTGGTGCAGATCCAAATAAAAATCTAGTGAATTTAAATGTGGTTTCATAAGGAGACTGAGGTATGAGCTCGACTGAGTGATATTCTGTGTTTCTAAATTATTTAGCTTGATGAATATATATTGAAACACATAATTGTATTCACTTTTTTACGGCAGCTATAATCAATATTTTTGTACTAATAAATTCTCCTGAGCTCTTGGAGGAATTTATATGTAGGGAAAACTACTAGGAGATTAAAAAAACAATAGTTTTTTCTGCAAACTTAATCCTAAATGAGAGATATTTCTCTGTTTGCTGGAAATGTAAATAATAAATAAGCTGTTTTCCATCATAACTTCTTGACAGTATTTTATTTCAGCTTGTTGTGTGGCCCTCTAGCAGCTAATGCAGCTTTAATGTATCTCCTCTTCAGTCCAGCCCACGCACCAATTTATAAAACTCACTCTGGGACAGTCAGGGATTTTTGTAAAAGTCGAGAGCTCAAACGATTCTGTATAAAAACACCCACTCCTGCAGGTTCTCGGTGCTCCTGCAGCCGATCAGGGGCCACGGTGGTGCATTGAGACACAAGTCAACAGCAGCAGTAAATGATGATGTTACTTTGACTTGGCAGCGGCGGCTCCGAGGAGCCGGTGGGTGGCTTTTGTCGTGGAAAGCAGCTCAGCAGTAATGTTGACGGGAAATTAGTTTTGGGAGCTCAGGAGGAAGTGGAGGAGCGGAGAAGTGGCAGATAGTGTGGGGTCACTGGGTTTCTGCTGCATGCACATATACACATGCACACACATGCACACAGTCTCAGTCTGCCTGTTTACATGTTCACCCTCTGTCCTCTGGGCTCTGAGCCCCTTTTACCGTCATGTTGCATCAGCTCATCTCCAGACAGCCTCCTCCTGTCATCCTGGTCTAAATTCTTAACACTAATTTGTTTTATAATCGTATCTCGCTCAGCGTCAAAATAACTTTCTTTAGTTGTTCTTGGAAACTAGCGTTCTGAGCTGACTGGCCTGGATATGTTTCTTTATTTCTGTTTTAATTTCCCTACGGGGATTAATAGAGTACTTCTGATTCTGAGGGAACCAGCCAATCAGGATGCACTGTGTGTATGTGATGGGTCATTGCATTTAAAATAGTTTGTTTAGAGAACTTTAATCATGTTTTTCAGGCAAAGCAAATATGCAAAGTGTAGATGAAGCATCTTTCATAATTAAATAGAAAGTAATTGACTTTTCCCTCCTTTATTCTCTTCCCTCCCCTCCACTTCATCTTTACCTTTTTCCTCCCGTCCCTCCCCCAGTTTGCCACCATCGAAACCATCATCACCTCCGTGTCGGACGAGTTCCCCAAATACCTGAGGAAACACAAACCGCTGTTCACCCTGGTCTGCTGCATCTGCTTCTTCTTCCTGGGATTCCCCATGATCACAGAGGTACGACATGGATCTACTGTTCACGTGCACGCTGATGTCACAGTTTTCAGAGAATCCCAACTCCAGCAGGATTCATACACATCTTTACTTATTATTAAGTCACTGAAAGTTACAAGCGTGGATGAGACAGAGGTGGGAAAACGTGAGGAGAGAAGCAGTGACGAGGATGAAGCACGGAAACACTTTTCTTACTCGTGTTTGTGTGTCTGTGTGTGTGTGATTGTTGCAGAGCGGGATGTACATGCTGCAGCTGGTGGACACGTACGCAGCCTCCTACTCTCTGGTCATCATCGCTATCTTCGAGCTGGTGGGGATTTCCTACCTCTATGGTGAGCTCATGTCAGTTACACATCCCACAGAATGAAAAAGAACAGAACGGCAGAGGGACAGTTCTGTTCCTGCAGGAGTGACATGAGAGGGAAGGTCACAAAATCAACACCACACCAACTTTTTTACCTTAAAATAGCAGCTTCATTAAAATGAGTTTGATGATTCAGTGGCTGTGAATATGGAGAATGTTTCCTCTCTCATTCCCTGAACGTCTGCTCTATGTAACTTTGGTGAGTGGGTTCGATCTCCTGTGAGAAGAACTGAGCAGAGTCACAGCTTCAGCCGTCAGAATCCAGTCCACCAGGTGGAAGAGCAAAGCTGAACTGTAGATCAGATAAACAAAGACTTAGTAGTAATAATAATAATAATAAATAATGATAAATTAAATCTTTGGAGCTGCACATATTAAAAATATAAAAAAACTGAATGCTGGAGTAGAACAGACGTCTCCAGTGAACTTTATAATAATCTGCCTGTTCTTTGTTGGACAGAGATGTTGGTCTGACGCTGCCACTTGAGAAAACAGTCACACTGTGGGTATCATTAATATCTGCAGACAATTTCATGTAAGTGCAGCTGCTGGCTCTCAGGATATCATCATGAGCCACAGTCACAAAAAAAACAGTATCTTTTTAAGACCTAAAATGTTGGAGGCAATAACTGACTCTTTGTTTCCAAGGTAACAATTCCACTTAACGTCAGCTCTTCATGACAAAAACAAATCCAATTATCTTCACTTTCTCCAGAGATTTCTCCCAGTTCAAGTTTGGGAGAACATTTGATTTGTTTATTGTAAAACCTTTAGCCACGTACATGGGTCATAGCATCCTACACCTCCTACTCACAGCTCAGTATCTTCTGATCGACTCTCGATGTCTGTTGAACACTTTCAAAACACCATGCTCCAAGTTTGTGATGCAAACTTTCTGTTAAAGATATTTGGAGCCTGTGAGCCCAACCTGAGACACTCAGACCTGCCATAGAAGATGATATAAAACAGATTTTCACAGTTTGCACGGTCCTGCTTTCACCACGTTCAGTCAGCGCCCTTGTGAATGATTTGCCTGAGGTAAAATAATTAAGTCAGTCTGGGTTTTAGCTGATGGTGTTAGAGCCCCATGTGGATTTGAATGCAGTTATTTTTACTCTTTTTACAGACTCCATGTAGTTACACTATGTGTCTGCCTTTCATTTTCCATCTCACATTTTATCTGTCTCCTACTTTAACATTTACAGTTTACATCTTGAAATTGAAAACATGTATATAATGAGTAAAAATGCTCTTACACCATTTAAAGTAAATTAAACCAAACTAG